ACGTGAAATGACGAGAACTGAATATGTGGAGTGCTTCAGTTTTATACGTGTGTAATTAATTCAAGAGAAAATTAAAACCCTGCCAGTCTGCTCTAATAGGAGCAGAAAATACTGAGACATAGAAGTCTTTCTATAAACGTGGTTTGTATTACTGTCACATAGACTTGCAGCATTTGGGGGTTAGAGTCACTTGCTCTCTAGAAATTGAGGCCCAATAAAAATGCAACATGTGACATGTAATCACATAAAATATCCTCTTTTTCATGCAATTTTTCCCTCCTCATTCATTTAAGTCTTTTCCTGCTTTCAGCTTATACTCAATTCCCAAATAGCAGACACCAGCGGTGGTAGGGAAGTCTCAGAAATGTAACTCCTTCTGTCTCCACTTTCTCATGACAGGGAGAGGTTACCTGTTTCACTTGAGCAACTCCCAACTAGACACAAATAGGATGGGAAATGTACGGAGGTTTAACCCACGTCCATTTGCACTCTGTGGCTCTCAACTCTTGACAGTCAACCTAAGCACTTGCCATAAAGACCCTGCTAATTTCACACGGTAAAGGAAACTACTTGCTGAAATTATTGACTGAATTCAGTCAGAATTTAGCTTCAGTTATTGGAAGGAATTGATATGTTCAGTGTTCCTCGAGGGTGTAATGCAGATTTTGAGCTGTTGGAGCAGTTTTTAAACTTTAAGATGTCACAATGATAAGCTTTCTTTGCTTTTAATTGGAGGTGTTAAAGCACTTCAGCAGCACCACATGCTTGGGGGTACCTGATGACTGACACAATTGAACGTTTAGGCTTACATACTGAATCTTTCACTGAATTTATGGGCTGGATTTTCTTGGGGACTGAGGACAAGGGCTATGGCGAGATTTGTGGCAGAACTGTGCAAGAAGTCTGGCAAGGTCTATCTTAATGTTGGGAGCAACTCATTGCATTTTTATGCATTTGCCAAACAGTGCGGCTGCTTTCTCACTATACAGCGGCGATTTGTCACTTCAAGGAAATTGTAGTTTGCTAAACACCTCATTAACATCACAACTTGCTTCATTAATGTGCAGTTTCTTATCTTATCAAATGTGCCCAACAAGCTAGACAGTCAGACTTCTCAACACGGTGGTAGGAACGGATGCTGGCGACTCCAGCGCATTGCTGGCTAAGGAGAGCCTCCATGTTGGTCACCACACAACAGCACCTCGGGGCATGATCCATTGGCACCAGCTGCACGCATCTCTTGTATATGGTGGGGGGGTTGGGACAGTGTGGGGAAATGGGAACGTCTTGTTGTATGGCACACCGAAATGTCAACCTACTGCATGTGCCAGCTGCCTGTGTGACAAACATACCGCATTGAACCAAATGGACAGCTCCCATCTTCCCTTGACAGGACTGCGCACTGGCCCTCACCCACATCTGACATGGCCACGAATGGTGGCTGCAAATAAAATCCTCGTGTTTGTGCTCATCCAACTGCTTGCCTGTATGTGATGTTCCCCTCCTGGACAACCAAAAACTGTGGGTCTACATTGGGCATTGGGGACAGAGTAGTGATGACCGAGAGGAGATGTTTAGACAGGATGTAGCTAATGAGAGAGACACTGTACGGTCTAATTGTTAAACATTGACAAAGGTAAGTGGATGTGCTTGTATCTATGAGGGAACATCAGTTCTATGTTGAGAGCAGAGGAACTTTATGGCTGCTGTGATACTGCATTGCCAGTGATGAAATTGCCACGACCCGTCCAGGTGCACAGTGGCTTTTCAAAGGTAGTACAGGCACAAGGAAGGCCAATTGTTTGGTGGCTATCTGCTGAGTGGCAAGTTGTTCCACAAATAGTTAGTGGTAAATGTAGTGATTGTAATGAGGTCAGCTAGGTGGACCCTGAGTTCCCTGATTGAGGCTGTTAACCTGGTCCAATCAGGGAGCCCTCGCTGACAGATATGAACAGGAGTGTCAGAGATTCTGTCCACTCTGACAGCTGGCTCTGAGGGAGCTGGATCAGTGTCAAGGATGCTCCACGTGTAAATAAAGAATGACTTGTTGACTGGATATGGTGAGCCTTTGTGCAGTTATTTGGATGTGAGGAGCACCATGGAGTTGGGGTAGGTAGTTACTGAAGCCGGTTTGGTAAGATACGATGAGAATTCTCACAAGACCTCACAGAGAAAAACTCTCCAAAAAAACTCAACATAACTGTCACTTAGCCAAAAAATATTACATGTTGCCTTACAGTTTTACGTGTCTCCATATGAGTGGTTGACTGACACATTGTCAGTTTAGCACACAGTCTGTTGTGCAGTACTGAGTGATGTGACATTCTAGAAATTGATATCTACATGTGTATCATTCCTAAATCATTTTGGAATAATACAGCAACATGACAAAGACATTAATAACTGAAAGAACTACAGATGCTGTAAATCAGGAACAAAAACAGAAGTTGCTGGAAAAGCTCAACAGGTCTGGCAGCATCAGTGAAGAAAATATCAAAGTTAATGTTTCGGGTCTGGTGGCCCTTCCTCAGAACTGATGGTTAGCTACTAGTGCCTACATGCATTCACCTATCACCATCCCACCTACCTTCCCCAGCCCCATCCCTCCTCTCTCTATTTATTTCAGAGCTCCCCTCCCCCTTCCCATTTCTGAAGCAGGGTCCCAACCCAAAACGTCAGCCTTCCTGCTCCTCTGATGCTGCCTGGCCTGCTGTGCTCCTCCAGCTCCACACTGTGTTGTCTCTGACTCCAGCATCTGCACTTCTTGCTATCGAAGTTATCATTGTGTAGTGATGTCTTCTGGCACAGATTGTCAATCAACAGAAGCAACTGAGTCACTAATGTCCCAGCATGATATTAAATACAGAGCTGATGGTCTAGTGGCATCATCACTGGACTATTAATACACAGAGACAAGTAATGTTCTGGGGATCTGCATTTGAATCCCACCATGACAGGTGGCAGAATTTTAATTAAATTAAAGTTTGGAATCAAGAGTCTAATGATGATCATGAAACTGTTATCAATTGTCAAAAAGAAAACACATCTGACTCACTAATGTCCTTTAGGGAAGAAATTGTGCTGTCTTTACCTGGTCTGGCCTATATGTGACTCCAGACCCAGAGCAATGTAGTTGACTTTTAACTACCCTCTGGGCAATAAATAGCAAATTTGTAATAAAGCTCTATCTGAAATTATGGGCTTTGAGTCTGGAGGGACAGGGAGGGGATAGTCCATGAGATGTCCTCAGGGATAAAGGTCAGAAGAGCAGAGACAGATCCATGGGCTGATACAGAAGGCCATATCAGTGAAAGTGGAGAAGCAGATCTATGTATTGGAAGTGATGGATATGTCTGGGAGGCAAGAGAGGGCGATGTTAGTGGTTGGGGCATCTATGAGAATGGAATGGGTGGATCTAGTGGGGAGTTGGAGGGATGTGTCTGGGTGTGGGCCCAGAGGATAATGATGGACTACACACTTATTTTGAGCAAGAGCTCAATCCAGAAAATAGTGAGTTAGAAATCCAGTTTTCATTCTGCTCACTGAATTAGAAAAAAACAATTGGGTAAAGTGTAAAGATTTGCAATTGCCTTTACTTGCATGAAAACAAAATTAGCAAATTGCATTTATAAAACACATTTCCTCTATTAAAAACATTCAAAGGGCTTTATGTAGGAACACTGTGGATCACATTTTGACATGGAGACACATAAGGAAATTTTCAGCCAGATGAGCCAAAGCTTGGTCGCAAGGGTACAATTTAAGGATTGTCTTTAAAGACGAAATCTTGTGTTTAAAAAATGACAAAGAGTTAAAGAGACTGAAAGTTGTATGGAGGAAATTACTGAGTGTAGTGTTGAGGGAACCAAAGGTACAATCTCAACAGTGGAGTGACTAAAATTGTACTTATAACATGAGGCCAGAAGTTTCAGGAGGTTGTTTGGCTGGAGGAGGTTACAGAGGTAGGGAGGGTTTTAAGGCCATGAAGGGAATTGAAAAGAAGGACTTAAATTTTTGAATCAAGGTGTTGCTTAACTGAAAGTCAATGTAAATCTCTGAGTATAAGACAAATTAATACCCCATAGTCCCAAAGGGGTTTGCAACTATTTATTTTTATCTAAATTAATCTTATTTAATTATCTTCTAACAAACATCAGTGAGACTTTGAGTCTAAATTTCCTGAATTGATACCATTTTGGTGTTGAATCTCAACATTAGATTTCTTCTTAAATGTATGCTTTTGCCTAAGCCAGCTGTCCAAGATGGACTGTGCAGGCTAATTCCCTGTGGATAAGGGCCTTTGTGACGCAGTGTCCCTACCGCTGAACAGGAGGTCCAGGTTCATACTTCACCTGCTCTGGAGGTGTGTAACAACATCTCTAAACAGGTTGATTGGAAAATATCTATTATTTGTGGAAATACTAAATGTAATGAGTTTCAAATCGACTTCAAATATTGTATTATACCAAGTGCTTACTGGACACAATTATTAGTATTACTACTGAGATTGCAAACATCGGCTGTTGATTTCTCTGAATGGTGTCTTGGTGTACCAAATGCAATGTTCATAGAAGTACCAATAGTGGATTTTTCTTAGTGCTTTAACAAACCTATAGCCATGTTACCATTGGAAACACTTCATACCTGATTAGAATGATAACTACTGGACATTTCTTGAACAATTTCTAACATCATGAAAACTGTAAAAGCTGAACTATTTTGACACCATGTAGATTTCTTATCAAGAAAGGAACATGTTTCTATAGCCCAATAGGTTATGTAAGTTAAACTTTGAATAGAAACTTGTGAAATATTAAGTTTCATCTTGAGCTGCTAATTGTCAGTTTGGGTCCATTTTATTTTCCCAGAGAACAAAATGAGGAATACTGCCCTCCACTATTATTAAAGAACTCACCCTACCCTTTAACAGTATATTTATTCATTACAGAGTAATATGAGCAATGGTCAATAGGTGTACAACGCAGAAAGTCTATGTCCACGACCCAAAGAAAGCAGCTGTTGTTGGGGATAACAATTGAGAAATGAAGATGAGGGAATATAAGGCAGAATTACACTTAGCCACAGCATTGATTTCCCTTAGTAGGCGCTTGAAAACAAATCAGTACTGGATTTGTATCAGAAATGAACTGAAAGCTTTTATCTTAAAAGGTGACACCAATGTCATGACTTTCTTCACAATTATGATGAAAACGGCAGAAGCACCCAAAATTGGAAGCCCCAGTCCCAAAGACAGTACTTCTTATTTTTATGGGGTGGGAATGGGGAAGGCTCAAGCTTTGCATATAGAGGTTCCTGGCTATTTAAGTTAGCAACTGCCTCCACTCAGATAAGATTTTGGTAGCCTAGGAGTATGAAAACCAAGATATGCAGAATTAGATCTGGACTTTGTGTAATTCTTTGATTAGCCAGGGTATCTCTTTAGAAAGATATGGTAACCCTTTGGGTATGGTTCTGAAACACCTTTAGGGTATATGTAAGGTGCCCTTCGGGAGAGGTAAAGTGGCTTTTGGAATTGTTAAAAGTGGGCTTGCGTTTATGATGCAAGTTGCATAATCACATTAACCGTCAACAGATCTGCTAAAATCAAATGTCAAAAAAGTGTCAAGGGGACCTGTCAAGAGGAATCTGTCAACAATATCAAGAGACTCTGTCAATGGGAGCTAACAAGTTGTCATGGTATTTAAAAGTCTTGTCCTTTAAATCTTTGCAAATAAATGTACAGAGTGTTAAAAAAATGCTTGCCATTTCATTCTGTATTGACAAATGACTGAGAATTTCAATTCCTAGATTCTTGCTGCTTGACCGATTTCACAACCATCCATTATGAAGTACAGCGTGCTTCTATTTTACAGTTTGATTCATATCTATAAATGTTTACAGACTCTTTGAAATGGGGTGATGAATTCCAATGTTTGCTCTTGTATGGGATTGAGCAATCAAATGAAATGCTTGTTGTAATAAGGCTTTATTTAATTGAATATAAATGGAAAACAAAACTCATCCATAAAAAATGTACTCAATGTGGTGAAATCTGCAATACATACTTAGAAATTTATTTTATAGAATTTTATATTACCTCATATCTGCATGGGTCCTAGGTGTATACTGTGTGAGTTTTTGTGTAGATACAAGGCCAAAGGGTGATGGGTAGGGAGGAGTGGGCTGGCATGAATTGGAACTAAGTTAGCATAACGGTTATGAAGGACCACATAAAGGCAGGGTGGCTGCAGGCGAATAGTTTGGCATGGGGATTGGGAGTCATGGGGTCAGCACAGGTCATGAGGTGACATGATTGGCGTGGGTCAGGGAAGGGGTTGTGTGGGTTATGAGGTAGCATGAGGGTTAGGACTGGAAGGAAGCTGCATGATTGATTTATTTTTAATAATTTTGGACATAATGCCAGAGCCCTGAGGCAGTCCTTCTGCACAGCCCAACTCCCCAGTCAGCATCCTCTGACGTATGAGTGAGAATCTGATGTCTAGGCCACCAATTTCAAAAGTCGGGTTTGCAAAGCCAGGAGTGCTACTGACTCTGTGCACTCAACTCACAGATGAAAATCAAGGCCCAGAAACGAAGGAGGACTGGAAAGTCACCAAAAATTGAATACAAATCTTGTTCTATATTTTCTGTCCAAGGTACATGCTTGGAACAAGCCTGGTTTGAGAAACAAAAGCACTTCTGTAGGGAAGGGTGGAGTAAACTATAGGAAACACAACACTTCATTTATCAGACTAAAAACAATTGCTTCATAGATTAGAATGCTAGAGGAAACTTCTGCACTTATAAGATGCATAGAAATGAACTTTAGTTATATTTTCTCTCATTTCAATATGATTACAAACTGCTGAAATCTATCAGGATATTTTCTGGCACAATATACTTTTTATATCACAATATATCACCATAAAAAAGTGTAGCTAAAATATTTCCCTCATTAGGCTAGATTCAGAAAGCCCCAATCGCTGTTGTCCATGACCTCTGGGATTTGCGAGCGCTCATGTTGCTTGTTTGACTAGAGGGATTGTGTCGGAAGTGTGATACAGATGGAAAAAGTCCTAAAGAGCCAGGGATAGATGCAGTTGGGTTTGTTGTATGAATGGTGCTGGTATTGGAAGCTGGTGACAGCAAGGGTGAACTAATTTGTGGAGATACAGCAACACCAGTTAACATTTTGTTCGTTGAGCTTACATTGGACAGGACACCAGGAAATGTGCATGTCATGTTGGACAGCACTCTATGAATAGGTGACGCCAGGTTTGACAAGAAATTAAGGCTAGATGATGTCATGTTTGGGAGAAGGTTGTGTGTGGGTGATATCACTGAGGATGTTATTTTGTCAAGAGGAATTCCTCTCAGAGACGATGCAGAGCATGCTAGTGCAGAGCCAGTAAGGAAAGCTGGGTTCTGCAGAGTATCCCTGCATGGTAATTGTCCTCCTTCTGTTGTCTGTGGGAGTAAAGTAGTTAATTGGTGATGTGGCCAAGTCCAGTTTCGATGGATCAAGGAAGCCGGTGCCAATGGTGCAGGCTCTATTTCAGACACATAGTTGTTGAGATGAGATACCAGACGGTCTTTTAGTGGATCAGTATTGTCATGGCCTTGAAATCGTTCAAATGAGCTGAGATACCTTATGACTTCAGCAAGACATTCTCTGAATCCCATACTTCTGTAATCCACAGCAAGCAAGTGAGGATCAAAATAACCTGTCAACAAAATAGTGTAATGATAAATACAGACTAGGCAAGGCTTGGTCATTGTCTAATGTGGTTACATTTTAATAAGTATTGTAGAGTGAGCATCTACAGCATTGATTGCAATTGTTCTTCAATGACTATGAACTTTTATAAAACCCTTAAAGCAATCATTTAAAAATAAATCCTTCTTCTGAAATCCTTCATGTTTATCCATAGATGAAACAAATCTCGGGAGGTAAGTTTGATAACAGGATAAATATTGACAGACACCAGTTAGAGAGCCTCATAAAATATAGCTTTATATGACAGAGATCAGGTACAAATTTGAACTAAGGCGATTTGTTACAACTAAGGTTTAAATACTGCAAAAGACATTTAAAAGGAAAATTCTGACTTATCAATAAATCAAAAATACTATATATAAAAGTGAATCTACTATAACTGAAAAAAATACTAAAGAAGCTTGAGTGTAACTGTTTAAAATAATTAACTGAACTGTTGAATGTATTGAACTGGCAGTGATCTAGGAGTTACTTATAAACTAAGAACAAGGTCTGGATTTTACCTACAGCAGTGAAGTGATGTCACTCACTGCTGACATTGCAGGAAGCTGCCTGGAAAGATCTCGTGATCTTTGTGGTGTGGATTTCACCATTACCAGTGTTAATTTCATTCTAGTATCAAGCATAGCATATCCAGTGATGTCTGAAACCAGGCTATGCAGGTGATCACATTGAAGTATTCTCACAGACAGCAAACCACAAAATTTGAAAGCACTGATCATTCTTCTGTTGTTACTCAGTGTGCAGCAAATGTAATGGTGATTGGCATGCATAAACGGAATTAAAGCTTAAATTTCATTAACAATTTTTTAAACTATTATTTTAAATATCTGTGGAATTTTAGATGTTCATGGAGAGATTTGACATTCCAGAAATATAATGCCACGTTTTTAGTGCATATAAATTGTTCAGCTATGATTATGACTTGGTACATTGTTAAAAACCCAGTTACATGTTAGTCAACGAGCTGCATGTGAACTTGAAATGATGTAGTGAGCTAATAAGCCAGTTAGGTCTGAGAAATAAATATTGTTTAAACTGTGTAGATATTTTTCTAAGTATTCAATCAATCAATTACATCTGGATTTAGATGTAACATTATAATTGTCACAATACACGTTTTGACCGTTGTGACATACACTTAGCATAACCACTGCAGTTCAGGAAGTAAAACTTCAAATTCACAGCCCAAGACTACCCCAAAAAGGTGATCAGTCAGTTAAATCATGTTATTTTACTTTAGTTACAATAATTGGACACAATGTGCCAGGCATGATACAACAGACTGTGATGACAGATTAAACCATTGGCTCCTTCCTAGAAGGTCATAATTTTAGCTCCTTGGTTTGCTTGTCACTGAACGTATATTTCAATGGAGGGCATTTTAACTAATCCTAAACCAGAACAACCAAAGCTGGACATTATTTTAAGCTTTAATCTGCATTGACAAATTTTAGTCTTTGAAAAACATCCACCAATTAAAATTTTTTGATTTGAAACATTTGCCATATTAATGGGCTCCCTGAATGAGATTGGGGATTCATTACAGCTAAATGCCAAATTTTTATCCAATTTCCTGGCTTGGCTCAACAGCTGCTAGAAACTGGGTTCCAACCTGTCCAATCTCATTTCATGTCAAAGCCCTACAATGAGTAGGCTGGTAAACTAAACTGAATATAAGTCTTAAGAGTGTTCTCACATAGGGACCATCCAGCCTCTTGCACACGAGATATAATCGTTCCAGAGACTAAGGACTGACGTAATTAATTTATTATATTTCCTGGTGGAGTGAATGTTAAAAGTAAAGTACTGCTATGTTCTTGCAACCTTCTTTGCATCTATCAACCAAACTTTAAATACAAATGACCTGCTACCATTATGAAAGTATTTACTGCCTACATTTTCCATAGCTTTGTATTGACCTACTAATGTATGACTGTACTCTGTACGAACACACCCTAGTCATAAAAGAGACTGGCATTGAATGGTGAATGTTTGAACAAAATATTTCAAGACAACAGTGGTCTAGGTTAATTTTACATTAAGGCTGACCGTTGACTATAAATTAAATGACATCAAGATCTCCAATAAAATAATCCAAATCCATTAAATCTTTCATTTCAGTTTCAAACAACGCGTGACAAAATTATTCAGAATGGTCTCCTCTACAAATCTATAAATGTGTCATGCAAATTGGAACACAAGGATAGCAAGGAGCCATCTGTCTGTTAAGATTGCACTGTCCTTTATTAACCATGGCATCTTCACCTTTTAAATCCCAAATCTGCTTCTTATTAGCAATAGGTCAGTGAGGTCAATACTGGGAGAAAGAAAATTTTTCAACACTTCATATTCATCAACAGCAGCAAATTATCTAGGTCAGATACATCAATGGCTAATTACTATGTAAATATTTCTCTTTTGCCAACCACTGACTTTGACCTGGATTGCAGCAGAACACTTCTTTCTATTGCACAAATATGGTACATTAACACTGATATTAGATGACTATCTTTACAGTCTGTCCAAATCAGATTTGCCACTGAAGTTGGATTTGTACTACAGCTGTAGCACTGATGTAAAGCTCAAGAGTTTTGGTTCAAGTCCATTCAGCACCCAACTGACTCCAGAGAAAAATGGAGTTAAGCATGAGCATCATGCCAGGTTGTTGAACTGTTAGGTGAAATTTCAAATGTGGATTTGCACTGCAAGTTTTGCATTACTGCAAAGCAAAACCACACTGCATGAACACCATGGATGTCATGTAAGTAGTAGCCTTAATGCCACCTTATTGCTAAATGATAGATTGGTTTGCCCTGAATACATAATCATCAGGAACTGGTGGAAGATTTTCCTCTTTGAATAAAAAGAGTTCAATTACCCATTTTTTGTTGTTAATTTACACAATACTTCTTCATAATTTAACAATTGAAAATGTGATATTAATCTGGTAAATCTGTGGTGTGCCCTCTCCAAGGTCAATATTTTTAGTTGTGGTTTGGTATCCAAAGCTAAACACAATATCTGAGATGGATTCTGTGTAAATGAAGCATTACTTATTCACTTTTGGACCCCAACACCCTTGACAAAAAGACAGGCATTCCATTTGACAGGTTCCTTACATTTTGCAAACAATGTAGAGATGTATACATGAAGACATATTTTCCTTTTCCACAGTTCGCAATCTGTCATTATTAGGAAAATAGACCAACCTTTTTTCAGATCTCCACTTTGAACTCCATCTGCCTTTGTTTTGCCTCCTCATTCTATCTATGTTTCCTTGTAACTTCTTGTTTATCTACACAACTTGTGCTTCATAACAATGTCACCTGCAAACTTAGATATACAACTCTCTATTCCTTCATCTAAATCATTAATATACATCGTGAAAAGCAGAAAACCAACACAGACCCACAAGATACATGTCACATCTTGACAAGAAGAGAATAAGCCCTATAGCCTCTCTCCACTCTCTGTCTCTTACTTTCCAATCATTTATTATCTGATTTGTTTGATTTATTATTGTCACATGTAAATTGAGAATGTTCAAATTCAGCACATTCTATGAATCATTGATTATAGTGACAGTTTTTATTTCATTGGTAGTTCAAGTAGAGAGATGAACTCCAACTGTGACAGCTCACTGAAAGGGTTTCCCCACTTACTTCATATGTTCTGCAGCAGTTTACAAATTATTGACAAGATGCACCATTTGTAAGATATTATTTACTGCATTACCTTTCAAAACTTGAAAGAATTTATAAAGTTGAATGGAAAATGAGCACAAATTTTGTATTCTAATTGTAAATGTTACTAGCTGGTCTAATTTTAGGGCTCTAAAAACATAAAAACATTGAATATATGTGTAAGACTAGGCCTTTAACTCTTTGAGCCTGCATTGCCATTCAATATGACCATGGATTGATCCCACTTTCTCCTTTGGTTCCTTTAGTTAGAAAAACTAAACCTGACCCCTTCTTAAAAATAGTCAATGTTTTCTGTAACAGCAAATTTCACAGGCTCCCCAGTTTCTGGGTGAAGAGATTTCTCCTCATCTCGGTCCTAAAAAAGGGTATCCAAAATCCTTAGACTGTGACCCTTGGTTCTGGACTCCCCTGCCATTGAGAACATCCTTCTTGCATCTACTCTGTCTAATCCTGTTAGAATTTTATATGTTACTGTGAGACTACTCCCTCATTCTTCTAAACTCTGATCTGGTTCTGTCACTATGTGGCCATGCACAGTAGAATGGAAGTGGGTTTTTAAAAGTACATTAACAATTGACTTTTCTTGTCAGAATTGGACAGTGAAGCTTTTCAATTAATCTAATTAATACCCAAAATTTCACTTTAATTATGGATAATCAGGGTATCAAAATTCAACATTTTTTTAACACGTAGAACTCATCTTCTGATACAATGGGAAAGATTAAAGGTCAATATTAACTTATAGCATGAGTTTAGGAAGGGGTCCAGATTTCAGTCACACTTAAGATTCTTTAAATAATTTATTGAAAAAAAATATTTTTATGTAAAATATTGCCAACATCATGTGTATGTTTTCTGACAATTAATTATTATTTTGAGTTTTAATTAGTTAATGTTTTTAATTTTTAAAGTTAACAATTTTAGGCTACAATTTTGGATTTTAAAGTACTATAACTGCATTCAAAGGCATGGAAAATATTTTGAAAGCTTTAGAAATTCAATCAAATTAGAGTACCTTTTTGCTAAATCATTTCATTGCATTTTAATCCTTAGTTTGAGATTGTTTATTTATAGATTTCTTTCAAATTATTATTGAACCTTGACATAGATTTGAAACAAGATAACAAAACTGAAATGGACATTAAATTATTGCGATTATGTCATGGCAACTATATCTTTGTGACACGCATACGAATTATTTATAGCTGAGTTTCCTTGGCAAGAGGTAGTGACTAGGTTATGAGGAGGTGGAGAGTGCGTGAGGAGGTTAGGAAGCTTTAAGCGTTACGACGAGATCACCAGAAACACGCCAACTCAAACTCCAATAGGTGATGCTTGCAATATGCAATTTATCCACTTGTGGTGCTGTAACCCTAGCCTCGCATCTGGCCAATTCTCAGCTTTCGCCAAAAGCCTCCGCATTCCTGCAAACAGTTCCAACTTGCATGTATATTATTTTTCTAATGTGCAGCTTAAATGTGTTTTATTCAATTCCAAAAGGTTGTTAACCTTCTGGTCTGTACCTCTGTAGCTGCTGCTATTGAGACATACACGAATAGCAATTAGTCCTGTCCTTCTCTCCAAATCTGCTTCAAAAACCTGTTACAAAGTTACGTTCCCAGTGTTCCGCAGCACTGTGAATTATTCTTTATTGTCCTTGCTTTAAAGTTCTCATGAATTGTGTGTTGTTCAGAATAAATTGACAAATGGTCTTCCTTTAAAAGCTTACTTTGGTCTCTAAAATGATTTTAATGACAAGTTTCTTTTGTCCTTCTTGGGAATTCACCTGGTTGTTTAACATCATCTGAACATGAAACATGAATTATGAGTAGAATTTGCACTCCTAGATTCCCAGTGATGGACAAAAATATTTTGATTTTACCTTCAGTGATTTATTACTTCAGGTCTGCACCCAAATGACTGGACCAAAGACATATTCTAGATGCGACTGCAGGCGATTGGTCATCTTGTACCTCACTTCCATCGCCAAACTGAAGAGAGCAGGTCAGCCTAACTTGTCATGGTGGCCAGGAAATTCTCAGATCAGCTTATGCTTCACTCTGGTTATTTTGCCAGAAGCTTGGTGGAAATCTGGTTCAAATGTGTAATGGAGTTTCTATCAGGGGATCAAGAGAGGGGAGCATCCTTGGCTAGTAGCAGGCACCTATGTGAATTGCTCAAAGGTATTGGGAGGTTTAAGATTCACCAAGGTGAATAGAAATAATTAATCACTTGGGTATCAATCACAATTGCATTTTGTAGAAGAGTGGCATGAAAAAAGGATGTTGTGGTCAACTACATTAAAGGCTGCAGATTTGTCAAGACGACGAGGGGGATAATTTGAAATTCTCTTTGTGATACAAACATAGAATAGCATTTATGACTTTAAAGGATTTGGTACTCTTGATAGGGGATGGAAATCTGCATGAAGGGAATTGAACTTGGAATTCAGGGAAAGATGGGTACCAATTTGAAAGTCAAGAGCATGTCCAAGGGTGTAAATCTATAGCTTGAGCAATGGTCCCATTAGTGAGTCCTCTCAGGAGACTCTCATAATTTACTGAACACTGAAGGTACATTAGTTGTTTACTTGGTTTCTGGAAGATATGCTCAAAATGCATCTGCCACTGTAAGGAGAGTTTCTCCAATTGGTTAATTTGATTAATTGTGAATGATTTATTTTGCAACAGCTTGTATTATGTAAATTGGTTGCTGTGTTTGCCTGGGCAACAGTAATGACTACACTTCAAAAGTAATTCATAGACTATGAAATGTTTGGAAATGTCCTATGGTCAAGAATAGAGGTCTTGTGGTGTGGTGGGTTGTATTGCTGCTTCTGAGCCAGAAACCCCCATGTTCCAGTCTCAGTCAAAGTCTTGACAGCTGTGGAAGGTGCCAAAGTAGCCATGGGAACTGACATAAGCACTTGCTTTGTCTGCTTATGTATCACTAGGCACAGAAAAGAAAGATGAAGAATATATGATCATGACATATTATATAAATGCAAGTTCCTTGTTTCTTTCATATGAAGGTGAAAGATACAGCTGAGGTGGTCATGCTTATTTAGGTTTCAATTAACCATTATGCAGAGAAAGACTGAGAAGGGAGTCTGTGCAATTTATTTCTTACATTCAAAGCTCTTTATCAAGGACACATAGTTCATGCTCTTTAAAGCACTGAGTTACACAAAGCAATTAACTGAAGTCTGCCATTCTGTTTCAAATAACCTTGTTTGTTAGTTAGCTTTATTGGTAGCTTTCAAACCAGATTTTATATTCTGTGAGTATGTTATTTACCAGGCTGGATCCTGACTGCAGCTTGGAGTCTCCTTGCTCAAATTGGTAGCACATATCAATTAAAATGTGGTATGAGAACAAAGTGATTAAATAAATATTTCACTCACGTCCATTTCTTAATTAACATTAGTAAAGACAGGTATTACATCCCGTTTTAACATCTCCAAAAACGGATTTACAAGGCTTAAACTGTTTTGATAAAGTTCCTCAAAGCTTTGATGTTAACTTTAACATATAAAAACACTTCCTACATAATAGTATAAACTGATTCAAACATCTTCATAGTGCTGATATATTAAAGGAATGGTCATTTAAGATGAACAGAATATAGAGCACCAACCATCTCATTCTTACCTTTACCCCCTGTTGCATGTAGCAACTTTAGATGGTCCACAGTCATTTGTAGGATCTCAGCTTTCTCGAGCTTGGATGATCCCTAAAAAGCAGAATAATGAAACTTCTTTTAAAATGAATAATAACTGTAGCATGCACAAAGTAATTAAATGAGCGACATGTTTGACTACACTGAACTACTGAATGAATGAGTCAATGCTATAAAATGTGAACAAATGAATGAATCACTGAATTAAATATTTACTACATGAAGAGTAAGGAGGAACAAGACCATGGAAGGCTTTGAAAACAAGGGTGAGAATTTTAATATCAAGATATTGCTTAAGAGGGAGACGGTGTAAATCAGAGAACAGAGTGTGAATAGTCCAAAGGTGGACACAGACCATAGAGTTTTGGATGACCTCATATTTACAGAGGGTAGAAAGTGGGAGGTCAGTCAGGATTGTGTTGAAATCTTTCAAATCTGAGGTAACAAACATAGAGTGCATGGTTTAGGAAGAAGACAACCTGAGGCAAGCTTGGACTTGGCCAATGTTATGGAGGTGTAAATGGGTGGTCTTAGTCAAGATGCAAATACGTGGTTGAATGTTTAGTGCATTGCAAATATGACTTTGAGATTGTGAGCGGTTTGGTTCAGGCTCAGACTGTTACAAAGACAAGGGACAAGAGTCAAAGGATAGGCAATGGAGTTTGTGGCAGAAGCTGAAGGCAGTGGCTTCAGGTTTTGTAATATTAAACTGGAGGAAATTCCTGCTTATCCAGTACTAGATGTCCGACAATTTAAAGCCAAAACAAATTGGAAGGTAATGGTGAGATACATGTCGAAACTATGGGTGGAATCTTATCAAGATCTGAACAACGTGGGCTATGGGACGAATTGTGTAAGAAGGTGCTGTGAGGTCTCTGTTAACAGTGGGGCGCGGCCTGCTGCATCTTTTATACAATTGCCAGGCGCGAGGCAAGATTCTCTCTGGGTAGTGTCAAGTTGCCTATATTCAGGGGATACTTGCTTGAATCAACAACACATCTCACCGCTTTAATGTACAGCTTCCTATTTTACAAAATCCACCAAATGAACATGTTGCTGAGAATTCTCAACATGGAAGTCAGAGTGACTTCAGCTCACTACCGGCTGTGAAGAGCCTCCATGTTGCTCAGCATGAAAATCTTCTCAGGGTATGATCCATGGGCACCAGCGCATGCACCCTTTGTACCTATACATTGGCATCTGATTTTTGCTAACTGCTCACAGCACCTCTTCAATTTACCTGCACTGCTGGGTGCACCAACAACTGACAGTGAAAGGCGACTACAGGAATATCTTGTGAGCAGGGAACAGGAACCCAGCTCATGGATTGGAGCAGGCTGTATCTCAGGGCTGCTCATTTCCTCTATTAGTGCCTGCTCACTTAGTGCCTAACTGTGTGCTTGCAGCATCCTTGCCATACTATGCTATTCCTGTTGGCATATTGGTGCATCAGCGAGAGCCTAAAGGTTGCTGGCACTGCCATATTGTTGTGCTTTTTAAAGCACAGACACACAGAATAGTTGCTTGTCAGTAGGGATTTGTCCGGGGGTGCACATGTTGCTATACAGCACACCAAGACTGGGGGCAAACTGCAGCCTCTATTCATTTTGTTTGTGCTCACTTTGCTGGCTGTAAGTAAAAGCTCATCTTTGGAATTATCAGATTGTTTGCCCGTAGGTGATATTCCCCTACTGGACAATGACAAGCAGTGGATCTCCAGTGGGCATTGGGAACAGAGTAGCAGTGACTTAGTGAGGGTGCTTAGATGGGATGTAACTTAGGACAGGTAAACGATATGGCCTGTTGATTAAACAGCAAACAGGGTGAGAGAATAGAATTGTAAGGATGATGGAGTGTCAGCAATGCTGGCTGCGTGCAATGGACAATGTGGCTTTATGGCTGTTGTGCCATTACATTGCTGTTGAGGTGCAACACTTGTCTGGGTGCGCAACTGCCTTTTAATGATAGTGTGGACATCAGGGATTGATGGATATCTGCTGTATGGTGAGTTGTTTCGGGAACGGTCAGGGGGAGGTGTTAAGATGAGGCTAGAACCTGTGAAGAAGGTGTCATAGGGGCAGGGTAAGTCATTAATGACAAGGATATGGTGAACGATCTCTCTAGGTCTTGTGGTGAGAAACCCACCAAAAATCTTGATGCAACTGACAACTGAGGAAAAGATAAGATTTGGCCCTATGTTTTTGTGTTTTCAAACTGTTCTTGTCACAGTATTGATTGGAAACCAGGTTCTTCAGGAGGAACAAATGAATGTTCACTGCCAATTTTTAAAATAATAGTAAAAATTGAAGAGAAATTTGGGGAATTCTTTTGGAGAAAGTAAGATACAAGAAACAAAGACCGCTGCAAACTGTGGAGCCAAAGGCTGAACTTGACATAAAAAGTTTACACCTTCATGCTTTAAATCAAGGATTTATAGATTGTACAATAACCTTAAAGACTGAGTGAAAGCATTTGAAAGGTAACTGATTCTGGTTCCTGATTCTGTAGGCAGCAGGATGTCTGCTTGGAAGGAAATAGACTGTAACATGGTTTGATTGGTTTTCAGAAACAGGACCTGAATGGCTGAATAAAGAAAATCAGTTCAGAGACACTTTCATTGCTGTTACCCTGTGTTCTTACATTTGTTCTTGTAGGGTTTCAGTGCACTTGAGCTGGTCTGCTCAACTAAAAACTAGAAGATTAAAACTCAAGTTGTATTTGTCAGAGTCTTAATGATGCAGCTTTATTACAAGTTCCATCTGACAGTTTACAATGGCAGTCCCAAGTGATACTGTCATTCTCTAGCCAGGAGAAAGCACAATGCTATATAGTTAATTCTAGAAAGACGTCCAGGATTCTAAATTAGCAAACATTATTATCCATAAAAGACAAGTTGGCATAGAACCGTAGAATCATACAGTGAAGAAAAGGCCCTTCAGCCCATCCAGTCTGCACTGATGTGAGAGAAACACTCGACCTTCAACCTAATCCCATTTACCAGCACTTGGTCCATAGCCCTGAATGTTATAACTTGCCAAGTCTGTTCCAGGTACTTTTTAAAGGATGTGAGGCAACTTGCCTCTCCCACCCTCCCTGGCAGCATATTCCAGACTGTCACCACTTTCTAGGTAAAAAGGTTTTCCTCACTACAGCAACCCCCGCCCCCCAAACCTCCTGCCCCTCAATTTGATCCAGTGTCCTCTTGTATCTGGCCCTTCAACTAAGGGGAACAGCTGCTCCATATCCAATCTGTCCATGCCCCTCATAACCTTATACACCTCAATTAGATTGCCCCTCAGTCTTCTCTGCTCCCACAAAAACACAAATCTATCTATCCTTTCCTCATAACTTTAATTTTCCATCCCCAGGCAGCATCCTGGTGAATCTCAGTGCAATCACATTCTTCCTGGAATATGGCTGCTGTTTACCAACATAGATTGCTTAGAACCTTTTAATTTCAAAAGTTTGGAAAGTTCACTTTGGATTGATTCAGTTATATTGTTGCATATATGAAACCATCTCCTCAACATGTCTCACTCTGAAACTGAAAGCTGAACTGATGTCATTGTGAAACGGCATTATGTTTATCCCAGTAACACAATATGCTGTCTGCTAGGTATTGTGTTTAAATGAAGAGAGTTTTTACTTTCAACTATCTTTCCTGGTGGGGTGATTGAAGGAAAGGGGAGGGGTGAACGGATGTACAGTCAGTTGGTAGAAATATTGTTGAACATTACTCAATTAATTTTTGATACCCGTTACTGGTCTTTGCTGACTGGTTCTGGTGGTGCGAGACAAAGGATTTTTAAATTATAAAGTGCTGCACCATAACAATCAGGTTTAGCACCTTGTACATGATATGAAGCAGTTATAATTATCAAGGGTCCTCGAAGAAATAATAAAACAAAGTAGTTTTATGCATCTATCAGCTTTCACTGAGTTTTACTGCACTCATACAATTTTGTGCAGGGATAAACAACTTCACCTGAGACTGAAACTCTGATCAATTTAAACTCATTAAGTACCTGTTTTTCAAAAGCTGTTGGAACCAAACGACGCAATTCAGACAAACTGTTATTAATTCTGTCCCGTCTTCTTTTTTCAATAATCTATAAGAAGAATGTTGAAATACCTTTTAAAATAAAATCTCGTCACTCATTTGCCTGTCAAAAATGATCATTTCGCTACTTACCCCGCGCCTCTTCTTCCGTGCCAGAATGTGAGAAGTTGTAGTGGGTGAAGTTGATTGAGTTACAGGACTGCAAACAGAAACAGCATTTAACGTTTTTCCCTGGAGATACTTATCCGTCACGTTACTAACAGTGGAAATTTCAATGAATTCTTTGAAATAACAGAAGTCCAGATGTCAAAAATGTCTTTCCTAGGGCATAGCCAGAAGGTTTGAAAAGCACATTTATAGCTACTTTAAAAAATGTGTTGCTCGGTTTTTGTTGGCTCAAAACAGAATATTGCATGGGATCTAATTCAAGAAAACAAAAGTATTGTGCAAGTTGTTCCAATTGATCTTCCTCCATTTACCAGAATCAGTTTATGGAGGCTATCGTTCCTGGTGATCTTGACAAGTAACAAAGTTGGTGGGTGTCTGCTGATTTAAACCCTCCGAAAGGCTGACTCCATTCATATCCCTTTGGAAAAAGCAAACTGCTTTTAAAACCGCAGATTTGTAAAGTTCTGTATCAGTGAACACCAAACGGGTGAAAAGAGAGAGATTGAGTTGGACCTGCAGAGATTGTGAAAGCCCGAGTAGTGGGTGCAGAGACAGAAACTGAAGTTACTTACCAGTAATGTTCCTCTTTGCCAACATCGATCATCTCCTCCAGCTCACTGTCGGAGGAGCTTTCATCATATAGCCGCTTCATCCTGTCTTAGTTAAAGAAATATATGTATTCTAAACACTGGGGGAACAACGTGAAAATCCCCCACCCTCCGGGGTCAAGGCTGTTTCTGAATCTCGATGGGACAAATTAATAATCTTCTGCAGATAGTGTATACTTCTGGCGGCACTTCACCCGGCGCTGAAGCTTCTCTGAATGTTGGTGTTGTTTTCTCTGGATGGTGACCGTGGATCGGTAACAGTTCTCGTTTTATCACCCCCCACCCCCAACCTTGGCGATGTGTCCTGGGCTCAAACTGCCAATGGGATGTCCCTGGTTTAAAGTTTCTGTCCACTCCGTGCGCCGGTCTGTGTGTTTCTGCTGTTCCCAGTTCGAGAAAAGATGACTTGAGTTTGTTTGCAGATTGCTGTTTTTCTTTCCCGGGGAGGCTCTTCCTGTGGCTGAAGCTCTCTCATGTGGTCTCTTTGATGCTTTTTCTCCCCCTCTCTTTCTGACCGAGTCGCCCTGGCTCGCTCCCAGACTCTGAGCGCCTTGTCTGCTTGGCACCAATCCCTGTTCTGACCCTGTCTTTAGTTATGGCCTCGTTCACTTTCTATTCCCCTGCTGGTGATTTTCTCCTTTCGCCGTTTCTTTTGCTGTATCTCCACCGTACCACCTTTTCTTTTTGGGAGGGACTTAATTCCCGATGAATTTCCAAATGACACTTTGGCTGGGAGCAAACACCCTTTCACCTGTCCCTGTTACCTGGTTGGCAGCTTGTGCAATCTCCAGGACAGCTGAAACGTGAGAAAGAGCCGCCAGCTGCAACACAGAAGGAACCGGAGATCCGTGACATCCATCAACATAAACCTCCTCACCTGTCTGGGCAAAACCGCGCCCCGGGCACATCCCCAATGCTTCAAACATAAACTAACACTGCACTGGTGGCCTGCGATCGGACAGTTTCCAAAAGTGAAACATAAAGGTTTACCCGCTGCATAATGCAACATGCAAATCATCTGTTTTGGAAACAAACGTTTACCTTTATAACATTTACATTGACCGATTTGTTTTCCTAAATTTTTTTTACATTCTATTTAGAATGCCAATTTTGTGAAAGCAGTACAGCATCAAGTCTATACTCTAAGTGTACTTGAATACTCGCAGAATCTTGCAATATAGGAGGCCATTCAACCCATTAAACCTGTCCTGACTCTCCTGAAAAAGTAAACTGCCAATTAGTGTCATTTCCCCATTCTTTCATTTCAAAATTGCTGCAGTTTTCCTCCTTTAACTTATCTATATACAATCATTAATCAACTCGTTCAGATATGTTATTATATACCTTTTGGGCATGTGGGACTTGAACCTTCACCTTCAATGCCTGATAAGAAACTCAGGTCAGTTATAATCATTCAAAGCCAGCTCAAGTCAAATAGACAGTAATGCTGAAATGATATGCAGTACAGGGAAGAGACTGGAAGAGTATCAACATGAAGAGAGAGATAAAGAATGTGTAAAAGCTCACAATGTTGGGGAAGAGGTTAGGGAAGAATACAGCAAATCATAGGATTTGTATTAAAGAGGAAAAAGATGTGTATTTATACAACTTGTTACAGCTTTGGTATATCTTAAAATATTTGACAATCAGTGTTGTATTTTAGTGTAATTATTTTTGTAGTACAGGGAATGAGATTGTCAATTTGTACAGAGCAAGCTCCCGAAAACAGTAATGAAGTAAATGATAAGATAATCTTTTAAATATGTTGATTGAATGATCACAGTTGGGCAGGACATTGGGAGAACTCAGCTTCAAATAGTGCCCCGGAATCTTTAGTGTTCTCCTGAGAAGGCAGGTGGGTCTTAGTTTCAGGTCCTGCACAGAAGGCAGTATCTCTGAAAGTGCAACACATTTCCTGTACTGACAGAGCTGTCATCTCAGATGTTGTGCTCAAATTTCAGCAATGGAACTTCAACCCATGACTTTCTGATTTAGAGGCAAGAATATTATCAATGAGTCAAGACTGATGCCAATGACCTCTGTATGATTGCCAGGGCTCTGAATTAGAATCGGAACTTAAGCTTGCTGAGAATAAAAGGTCAAAAAAGTGAGTAACAAGTTATCCAGAAATGCTCCTGGTAATCAAACAGCAGTGCAGCCCTATCCCTGTGGCAATTACAATAGATTTTGAACTATCTAGCAACTCAAGGCTGTGTACATATGGCACAGGGGCCATCTCAGCAGCAGCAGAATTGTACTTCAACACAACGTGTAACTTCATGATCAGGCACATTCCTTAGTTTGCAATTACCATCAAATCAAGCGACTAACTCTGGCCAAATGAAGAATGGAGGAGGGCATGCCAGTTGCAACATCAGGTACCTAAAAATGAGATGTCGACCTCGTGAACCTACAACATGGGACTACTTGCATACAAAATGGCACAAGCAGGAAACAATAGGCAGAGCTAAATTATCTGAGCTCTGCACTGCTGTCATATCTAGTCATGAATGATAGTAGATAATTAACTCACTGGAAGAGGAGGCTCCACAAATGTCCCCATTCTTAATCACTCTTGAGTCCAGCACAGTCATAATGTTAAGGCTGATGCATTTGCAACAATCTTCAGCTACAAGTGCTCAGTGGATGACCCATTCTCAGCCTTTCCTGGAGATCCCCAGCATCACAAAAGTCAGTCTTCAGCCAATGTAATTCAATCCATGTGATATCAAGAAATGGCTGAAGGCTCTGGCTACTGCAAATGTAGTTCCCTGACAACATTCCCTCAATAGTACTGAAGATTTGAGCTCCAGAACTTGCCACTCCCCTAGCCAAGCTGTAAAAGTACAACTACAGCACTGGCATCTACCCAGCAATGTGAAAAATTGCCCAAGTACGTTCTGTACAAAATAAACAGGACAACTTGGCAATTAACACCGCATCAGTATACTCTGGATCATCGGTAATTGAATGTGTCATAAACAGAGCTATCAAGCAGCATATACTTAATCTGCTCACTGAATCCCAGTTTGGGTTCTGCCAGGGAGGGTCAGCTCCCGACCTCATTACAGCCTTTGTTCAAACATGGATAAAAAATTCTGAATTTCAGAGGCAAGGCTGTATTTGACCAAGTGTAGCACAAGGGAGTCTTAGCACAACTAAGGTAAATAGGGGAAAAGACACCTGCTGCAAAAGAAGACGGTTGTGGTTATCCAGATGGCAGGTGCAACACCTGCCCATTTACCTCCTCCCTCCCCAGTATCCAAGGGCCCAAACATACCACACCTGCACTTCCCAGAATCTAGCCTACTGCATTCGCTGCTCACAATGTGGTCTCCTCTACATTGGGGAAACGAAGCGTAGACTTGGCGACTGTTTTGCAGAACATCTACGTTCTGCTCGCAAAAAAGACCCTGAACTACCTGTTGCCTGCCACTTCAATGCACCACCCTGCACCCTGGCCAACATCTCTATCTCTGACTTGCTGCAGTGTTCCAGTGAACCCCAACATAAGCTGGAGGAACAACACCTCATTTTTCGCTTGGGAACCCTACAGACCTCCGGAGTCAATATTGAGTTCAATAATTTTAGGGCCTAAACTCTCCCATGTCCCAGCTCCCCACCCCACACACCAGGCCTTGTTACCACATAGCCTGCCACTACACACCCCCTGTCGTTAGTCACTAAAAGTCCCCATTAACAACTATTCGCCCTCCCAGCCTGATCATTAGCAACTCCTTTGTCTGTCCAACTGTCTTTCTCTCTCTTTGGGCTCTATCCTATCGTTTACTCCCTACTCCACCCACCTCTCTATTTTCTGCATATAAACTGACGTTTTCCCAGCCACCATCAGTTCTGAGGAAGGGTCACCGGACCCGAAATGTTAACTTTGTTTTCTTCTTCAAAGATGCTGCCAGACCGGCTGAGCTTTTCCAGCAACTTCGTTTTTGTTCCTGATTTACAGCATCCGCGGTTCTTTTGGTTTTTATTTAAGATGGTTGCGGTTGTTGGAAGTCAGTCATCTCAGCTCCAGAATATCTCAGCAGGAGTTCCTCAGGATAATGTAATAGGCCTAACTATCTTCAACTACTTCATCAATGACCTTCCCTGCATCATAAGATCAGAAGTGGGATGTCCATGGACGATTGCACAATGTTTCTCACCACTCATGACTCTTCATATACTGAGGCAGTCTGAGTCCAAATGCAGCAAGACTGGACAACATCCAGGCTTCTGTTGACAAGTAGCGAATAAAGTCATGCCACACAAGTTTTAGTTAATGACCAACTCCCTCAAAAGAAGATCTAAACATCATCCCTTGACATCTAGTTGCTTTACTATTGCTGAATTCCCCATTATTAACATCATGGGGTTTATTATTGACCAGAAACTGAACTGGACAAGCCGTTACAAATATAATGGCTACAAGAGCGGGTCCGTGGCTCAGAATCATGCAATGAGTAAGTCACCTTCTGATTCCCCAAAGCCTGTCCACCATCTATAGGGCACATGTCAGGAGTGTGATGGAATACTCCTCACTTGCCTGGATGAGTGCAGCTCCAACAACACTCAACAAGCTTGACACCATTCTGGACAAAGCAGTTTGCCTAACTGACACCTTCAAGCCACTCACCATCTTGACTTGGAAATATATCAGCATTCTTTCAATGTCTCTGTGTTGAATTCCTGGAACTCCCTCTCTAATGGCATTGCAGGTCTACTAACAGTGATTGGATTGCAACGGTTCAAGAAGGCAGGTTACCACCACCTTCTGAAGGACAACTAGGGATGGGCAATAAATGCTGGTCATCCAGCGATACTCATATCCCATGAGTAAAGAAAAAGAAAGAAAGATCTTCTTATGGAGTTACTGCAGATCAGTTGCCCTTTTAAATACTGTTGCTGCAGCAGCTTGGAGAATAGTTCCACTTGGTTTACCTGAGGGCTGAGTGCACGTTGGGTGGAATGTCTGTAATTTTGCATAATAACAGTGTTGGTGCCTTAGTTACACCTTGGTGTCTCTATTAGTATATTCATGAGGCTGCACCTGCTTCTAAATAAAAACTGAAAGAACTGCGGATGCTGTAAATCAGGAACAAAAGCAAAATTGCTGGAAAAGCTTAGCAGGTTTGGCAGCATCTGTGAAGGAAAAAACAGAGTTAACGTTTCAGGTCCGGTGACCCTTCCTCGGAGCTCTGAGGTAAATCAATCTAGTAAACCTTCTCTGAACCATCTCCATGCTTTTACATCCTTTCTTCCCAATTATCTAGGGTTTTCTAAGTTCACAACTTGAAGCTCCTTAATGATCACTTTTCACATGACAGGTGTCTAGCTAACTGGCCTGTAGTTTCCTAACACATTCCATTCAGGAATGGAAGAGTTATTTTTGCTACTTTCCAGTCCAATGGAATTTTTCTTGTGCCAATTTAATTTTGGAAAATTAAAACAAAACTAATGCACCTACTGCCTCATTGGCCACCTCTTTTAAGACCCTAAGATGAAATCCACCTGGACCCAGAGTCTTGTCAGCTGGCATCTCCATCACTTTGTTTCGCAGTTCTTTTCTCCTGAATAAAAGTTCACTAAATTCCCCTCTCCCTTCCGATTCCTGTTTTACGGCTGTTACTGTAAATTATTTTGTGCTCTCAATAGTGAAGACAAAACTGAAATATTTGTTCAATTCTTCCACTGTGTCCTTATTATCTACTCTTAACTCCCCATTCTCACTCTACAGTGGACCAGCTTTCCTGACTATTTTCTTTTTTAAACCTGGAAGTGGGAGAATTGGAGACAGGTTGAGGATGTGCTTGAGATTTTAAAATTTTTATATCCCAGCTGATCATGATCACCATTTTTGTAATTTAAATTTAAAGTAGAGAAATAATTTCTTCTGCTACAGGAAATGAGAACAAGGA